CTCAGCAACAAACCACAGCACACTTGCACGTCTTCAGAAGTGAACTGAGGTGGCTTCTCGGTTTGTTTTTGTGTCCCTTCTCAGTGAGAGGGGAGGAGAAGGAAGGGGAGGAGAGGGGGAAGCGGCTTTGAAAGTCTTTATCCATTTCTCTGAATAAGTTTGTGTCCCCAGGTTGGGGACAGAGCTACAAGCAGGAGAGCAGGCTGCCAAGTTTCCTTTCTGTCGGTCCTCCTCCTTACACAAACCCCAACGGGCCTTTCACCAGATCACTAAGTCCTACGGAGGTGGTCGAGCTCGCCCTGCTTTTCAAGAGACACAGGAAGAAAAGGGTCCTTGAAGTTCAGAAGACGCCCAGGGAAAACTCCTTGAATGCCATCAAAAGGACGCGCTCGGTGGCTGTGGCGCACGAGGGCAGCGTCCCCGCGCGGGCCCGGGGCGCGCGGCCGCCGCTCTGTCTGCGGACAATTGGGTCGCAGAAATAGGGAATTAATTACCATAGGCGAAGGGCAGCTTTTCAGCCCGGGCTGGGTTTTATTAAACGCCAATATAAATAACAAAACAACTCTTGTGGCCGCGCTATTCCTACACGCCAAAGGAAGGATTATGCTGCGGATTAACATCTTCAAGTCTATGGGACTTTCTGACTCAGGGCTCCGAGCTGGTAATCGTGTTTGTCTCCTGGTTCAGCGATTAGTGCTCTCTTCCCGGGACGGCCAGTGTCCCTTTTTGCAGGCGCGGGGGTTTAGGGAGGAGGTGCCCTGCCTAGTGGGGCCCCAGCTCCCCAATCTTTTCCCGCATCAGAGCGAAAGCAGGCAGCAGGCTCCCCAGCAAGGGCGAGAATCCTGCAGTGATTTTCTTCCTTGGGAAAGGAAGAGGGGCGCAGGAGCAGCCGGTGGCTCAAGGGTGGGGAGACGCGGCCGGGACTCGGCGTCCCCAGGGCGCACGGCGGGAAAGAGGCGACCGCGAAGGCGGACCGGCGCGTGCAGCCTCGGCCCCGGGCTCGGCCGGGGCGGGGATCCCACGGTGTGCCTCGGGCCGGGGGGGGGGGGAGGGCTGGCGGGGGGCCAGGAAGGAGGCAGAGAGTGAGATCCCACGATTTCTCTCCGAGCCTTCATTCCTGGGACAGGACCGGCCCTCAGGCCGAACTTTGAGGCGCTCGTTCCCCGCAGCCCCGAGCCCTGGAGGCGTCCTTTCCGCCCGGGAAGGGAACCGTCCCCAGCCCGGCCGCGAGCTCTCAGCGGCGTGCAGGGGAAAGACGCTTGGGCTTGCAGACTTCTCACTACCTCTACACTTGCAACCGAGGAGCAGGGTTTAGGCTTCCAAGGGCAGCCCCGTGGGCGCAGACGGGACCCCCGCCCCCGGCCCAGCGCCCCCTCTGGGCTCGGCGGCTCCGCAGCCACCCGGACTCCTATGCGGTAGCCGGAGCCCGGCGCTGGGGCCGTCTGTTCCCTCCGCCACTTGTGAGGTCGAAGCGTGGACGGGATGTAGCCCGTGGCCCACAGCAACACCTACCCTAAACTTTAGGGCTCTGGGTCGTCTCAGAGTTCAAGCTTCTTAGAAGCAACAAAGGCTTTCTGCAGCGCTGCTCCCCGCCCCGCCCGCCGCTGCGCCCCCCTCGCTACGGTGACCCGGCCCCTTTCTTTCCAAGCCTTGGGACGGGTTTAAATCATTGTGTTCCCATTTCGTGATAACCGCCCGCTTTGAGCTTTTGTTCTCGTAAAGTAGGATTGCACTCTGAAAGAGGGGCTGAAGATGAACAGTTTGACCCCTCAGGACAGTTCACGCCTGGGACCCCGCCGGCCGCCGTCCCCGCCGTCTATTCAGCCAGCCCCTCCCCCGCCCCGGACATTTCAGCCTCGTTTCATCCGGACAATCTTTGAGACCACACAAGTGCCTCTTGAATTTGTTTAAAAGAGTGCTAGAAGCGTCCAGCTAAGGGTATTTGGCGTTGGTCACGTCTTGGCAAATCGAAATTCCTTTTTTTGTCTCCTTAGCAAAACTGAGCAAAATGCTGAACAAATAGAATTTTGCTGTCCAGGCGGCTGAGCATGAACGCTTGGCTTCTGGGTGGCAGGAGCATTTGTCAGCTCATCTTTGGGCCGCTGCTGCTTTTTTTTTTTTTTTTTTTTCTTAAATGGCACTGTTCATAGACATAGTTCCAGAAGTATTAAGCAGCAGCACAGACACCTGAAACTCTTCGAGTTCCAACCTAACACAGCAGTTTTAAACAATACTTTGCATAACATTCTAATGCCTACCTATATGCCCCAAGAAGTCCTTATTTTCAAAATAAAATTCTATGAGCCACAGACATCTTGGTATTTCAGTGCATCATTGACCGTTTCTATCAAATGTGTGCAACTCCAAGTTTCACAACAGTGTTGGATACTTTTTCCTTTCAAAAGAGACTTCAAGAATAGGGAATGTGTAGTTTAATGCTACCCTGTTACCGTTTCCTGAGATCTGCACGGGATATATTTACATGTGCATTATTAACTTTTTACAGAACATGGAGAAAGTATTGCTTCCATCAAATGCCCTTTTGGTGAATCATAAAATCCTAGAAGAATATAAAAACTGAGGAGTCAAACACCCAAAAACCATTACAATCACTTAAAGCAATCAATGAGCATTTCCCTAGCACTATGCATTGACCTAGTTTGATCCCTTTGTTATTTAGAGCAACACTGGGCTGGTTGATTTCCCAGTAACCCTCTGCTTGGTTGGGATTCCAACTGTGCTCTCCCAAGCTAGCCAAGCCAAGAACTTCAGGTGGTCTGTCTAAAGAGAGATGTTTTGACTGATAGTAAAATAACCTGTTCTTTCTTTTCTGTTACATCAAGCTGCTGGCCTGTCTCTTGGTGGGTGTATGTGGGCCCACCATGGCTCCTCCCCATTATTTTTTTCAGCAACCTTTTAACTTTTCCTCAGAATCTAGCTTTCTCAACCTTTATTCCATTCAAATTTACAAAAACCTTACATTCACTCCCTTAGTCCCTGTCCAGCCAGCCTAGCTGCACCACTGGCAGATTTCCATTTAGGGGGACTGTGAGAAGAATATTTGCTTTAATCTGAGTGATCACTGGCTGTATAACAATGCTAGCTGTATCACAAATATGCACAATTTCAATTGCAGAATTAGTAGTGCTTGTGTAGGCATGCAGCGAAACTAGTCTCAGGCATCTTGCGTTGCCGGCCTATCTTTTGCTTCTTAAACTCCCTCATGAAGTTGTATTCCTGCACAGAGACCCCAAGGAGACAGGAAGGGGGCAGACGCTGTGTGCGGAGGAGCCTGAATGTGTATTTCTTTTCTTTTTTTTCTTTATGGCGCTTGTAACAAATGAAATCACGCTGTTTTGAAAAAGGAGGGTGACATAATGCTTTTTAACTCAGGGAATTTGTTTTACAAAGTGAAAAGATGGAAACAAAGTCAAGTGGAAAATGACAGTTTTCAAATAATTTCAAGACAGGGAAGTGTGGAAGCTGTAGAGCTCTTTTTCACCTTCTTCCCTCGGCGCCTTCCGGTCTTGCTGCAGGCCCCCCTGCATGGGGGGAAATTACAATCTTGCCCGAACACCAGCCGCCTGCTTCCAGCACGATTCTCTGAAATGCAACTTATTTTTAATGCCTACGACCGAGGAAAACAGTGACCCAGAAGGCAGAGTGTGCTTTCTCTCGCCCCTCTGGGCTCCTAGCACTCCAACCACGCCTCGTTTGCACTAGATTTGCAGAAGGGATGGAGGTCGCCTCTCCGTCTCTGTCCCCGTTCCTTCCCGCCACTCGGCGCGGGCTCGGCAAGCTCCCGGAGCGCGCGGACTCAGGAGCTGAAAAGGCTCCGCGCACAAAGGTGGCGTGAGCGTGGGGAGCGGGAGAGCCGGCAGCGTCGGAGCAGGGCCTCGGAGTGCAGTGGCCTCGTGCTCCCGCTCCCCACGGAGCAGCAGCCGAGTCACCAGGACGGGCGCACAGGTCACGGAACGTTGGCACAGCCCCGCGGGTCGGTGTTGCCCACGCACGGAAGCCTCTCAGCTGTCCCGTCACTCTCTAATCCGGGTTGGCACAGCCCCGCCAAGCCTGCGTGGCGCGGGGTGCCTGTCTGCGTCGGGTGAAAGCTGCAGGCGCCCTGCTGTCACCTCCGCTCAGAGCGCCCCCCATCGTCCTTGTGGAGGTGGCGCCTCGGAGAACCCCAGAGCCTTTCGCCACCTCCCCAGACCCAGGCGCGCTTGCCACCCACGTCTTTCGCCTTCCCTAACCAAATGGTTGCCTCTTCCGGATTGTCCTGGTTCGTCGTAGCCCCCGAATGGCTGTGCCAGGAGACACCCGCCAGCCCCACCCGCTCGCCGCTGTCCCGGGATGCCGACCCCATTAACTAATTCCAAGCCCCAGCGCGGCCCCGGAGCCAGCATCTAGGCCAGGGCGGTGGGTGCGCGCGGCGGGGAGGGGCGGGGGCTGCAGCCCGGGTCCCCGCGCCCGCGCCCGCGCCCCCCGCCCCCACGCCGGGCCCCTAATGAGCGGCTGAAAGGCGGCGGCTCGGCCGCGCGTGGCTCACCGGCCTCCCGGAGCCCGCGTGCGCTGATTGGCCAGCTGCGCCTCGCAACCCCATTCATTAATAAATTAGCGGCACGCTCCAGCCGAGCGCGAGCCGCCAATCACAAAAGACCGCGCGGCCACCGCACAGCAGCTCGACCCGTGCGCCCCGGCAGCTCGGTGGCTCGGTGCAGCCTAGAGCCTCGAGCAGAGCTTTGGAACCGTTTTATGCTGATGAGATAAAGGGGAGGGGACGGGTGGCGAGGAGGAGGCCGGAGGATGGATGGATGGCAGGGGCCCGGGGAGGGGGAAGGGGCAAAGAAAGAGAAAGAATTGAATGATGATAATACAATGAAAAGGATCAGTGAGGGGGGAGGCGGGGGCGCGGGGCCCGGGTCGGGGTGGGGGGAGAGGGTGGGAGCCCGGGGGCAGAGCCGATTGTTTTCTGGGGGGTATATAAGGGGTTTTAAGGAGAGTCGTGTGCCAGACACGCAACCACTGAGCCACAAGCAGCTTCGCGTTAACTGGAGAGCCGAGGAGTCGCGTGCCAGGAGCCGAGGGCTGAGTGACAGGCGTGCACCGCCACCAGTCCACAAGACCCCGGGCACTCCAAACTCTGGGGTCCCAGGCTCCCCGTGGAGCCACGGCTGCAGCGCCCGGCCGCGGGGACGAGTGCGCCAGGTGGGTGTCCCCGCTGCAGGCCGGCCTCTCCCAGCGCTGTCCCGCGCCAGATCAGCCTCAGAGTCTGGCGCGGAGCGTGGCGCCGGCTCCCCGGTGGCGCGTCCCGGAGCGGGGCGCTGCGCCCCCGAGCGGCAGGGCCGGTCCTCCTCCCCGCCGCGCCCCCGCCGGCTCTCAGCGCAGCCTCGACCCCGTGGCGACCCCACCCATGCCTGACTCACGCGTGTCCCCGCCCGTCCCCGCTCTCCTCCGCAGGATGTTCGTCAAATCCGAGACCCTGCAGTTAAAGGAGGAGGAGGACGTGCTGGTGCTGCTGGGCGCGGCCTCCCCGGCTTCGGCCGCGCTGACCCCGCTGTCGTCCAGCGCAGACGAGGACGAAGACGAGGAGCGGGGCGCGCAGAGTGGGGCACGCGCGGCCAGGCTGGGGGCGGCGGGCACTGGGGGCTGCGGGCCGGAACGGACACCCGGGCCCGGGCTCGAGGGCAAGCGGCGTCCCCCGCGAGCCAGGGCGGCCTCGCGTGGCGCCAAGACGGCTGAGACGGCGCAGCGCATCAAGAGGACGCGCAGGCTGAAGGCCAACAACCGCGAGCGCAACCGCATGCACAACCTCAACGCGGCGCTGGACGCGCTGCGCGAGGTGCTGCCCACCTTCCCCGAGGACGCCAAGCTCACCAAGATCGAGACGCTGCGCTTCGCGCACAACTACATCTGGGCGCTCACCGAGACGCTGCGGCTGGCCGAGCAGTGCGGGGCCGGCCTGCCGGGGGCGCTTTTCTCCGAGGTGGCGGGCGCCGCGCCCCGCAGCAGCGGGGACAGCCCGTCGCCCGCGCCCACGTGGAGCTGCACCGCCAGCCCCGCGCCGTCTTCTGCGGCGTCCTCCAGCGCCACCTCCCCCCACAGCTGCACTTTGTCGCCCGGAAGCCCGGCCGGGTCCGACCTGGACTACTGGCCGCCGCCGCCCGCCGACAAGCACCGCTACGCGCCGCACCTGGCCCTGGCCCGGGACTGCGGCGGGCCTTAGGGGGCCGCGGTCCTCCCGCACCCACTGAGCGGTGCCCACCTGTGGCCCGGCCGTGGGCGCTCACCGGGCCCCCGCGGCGAGCGCATCGCCCAGAAGCCCTGCAACTGATCGCGCTCCGGTCCCCTCCGCGCCTGCACGAGATATAATGTCGCCAGGAAGCCGTGCGTCCCGGCAGCTGAGGGTTCCCGCAGGAGTGCTGTTCGCAGCCCCGCAGCGCGCGGCACCTGCTGCTTCCCATTGCAGCCCGGCCTGCGGGCGGTGGGAACTTCACCTGTCAGACCAAACTTTCCCTCTTTGACGCGCACTTTGTCCCTTTCCCCAGATTCGTCGCAATGCCTATTGTCCCGTCCTCTCCTTTTTCTTCCCCACTGGGCCATCTGCCTCTTATGATTTATAAGGGGAGGAAAAACTTGCTTTGTGAGAGGGCCAGGTTAGAAGTCATTGTATAATTTGTAGGCTTTGTGGCGACTGAATGCAAGCGTGGAAATTTAGGCTGAACTCGCTATCAAAAGGAAAAATGTGGAGGAAAAGGGAAAAACCAGGAGGGAGGATTGCTTCATGCATTATTCATCTCGACCTTTTAAGGGAGGGGAACTCCCCCATTCTTTCAAGAGATTAAAAATAAATCAACAGCCTGAAAACCCGAGCAGACACGGAGAATTACCCGGATCAACCACACACGTGTTCCCTTCTATTTATTATAAAGAAAATTTTCATGGGAAAATTATGTATTTTTTGTATATTCTACAGAGTTTATTCTAGTATGTATTTACATCTTGAAGAGCAAGAAAGTCATTCATGTGATGAAGCTATAAATAAAGTATCTAATTTTCATAAGTTTTGTGTGTCATATTTAACCTCCTCTCACCGATGAGGTTCTTAGGGGCAGAGCAAAGCTCCTAGATGATCTTCATCCTCTGCCAGACGGCTTGTGTTTGGGGCAGTGTTTGATGAAGTGTTTTGCTAAGAAATGAGAAAAACGCTGAATCTCATTTGAGACTTCAGCCCTAAAATAACAGTGAAATGCTTTATACAGGCACAGTTTCTAAGAAATCAATTAGTGAACAAGTGAGCAAGAGAGAGAACATTTAAATGACAACCCAATCACAGAATGCTCCAAAGTTCAGAGAAACTTCATTTCAAAAAACTGTAAATTTGGAATTTCTTGGGGGCATGTGTAGAAACTTGGTTCTTACCCTTGACTCCTTTAGACTGCAGACCTCATCTGTCACCCAAAGGGCCTGGACCATGACCCCTAATGGTTCTCTCCAGCGCACACATCTGTGAGGTGCAAGCACTTATCTGTTCATTACTGGAGGCTGATTTTGTATTCAGCATTTTAACAAGCTAGTTGGCTTGAAAAGCAAACTCCTGCTGAAAAAAAAGAAAATATTCAGAGTGAGTTTGAATAGACAATATATGTGAATAGCTGTGCCTTCTAATCTTTGTTAATTACCTAGTCAGAACTTCTTCAAAAGGAATAAAAATTGTGCGAGTCTCACTTTCATCTCCAACGCAGAAATGAGTGACCTCTGGTTGACCTTGGCTTAAAACTGACTACATTCTGTGTGAAAACCCTTGGGGGAGGGTGTCTGTGAGAACACGTTTAAGAAAATCATGTGTTTTTTTTTTTTTTTAAATGATGGTTGTTCAAGGCATCCCCCCTGTGAACGCTGTATCTGTGCCTGCTTTGGCTGAAGCAAGATACTTTCCCCTGAAATATGTCAGAACCCCCCTACCTGTGTAGCAAATACTCATGTAATATTTTAGTAACTGTTTTAATCTAACTCAAGGTTTTTGTTTAGTTTTCATGCTTTTCACATAAGGGGTGCCTGCTGGAACTTGCCTTCTGGTTCAAAGATTGTGTTGTTATTCCTAAGAATAAATGAGTCCCTGGCACTGGGCAGAAGGCCCCACACCTCTAACCCATACAAATGCTTTCAGCACTTGAGAGGATGGCCGTGAGGGTCTGGAGACATCAGCTTTGATGACACTGTTGGGGACACTTGTGATGAGCCCTGTGGCCTCCTACAGGGACAGCTCTGGGCCCGCTCTGGGCACACCATAGGACATTCTTCCGATACTGGGAAACCTCCCCAGCTGGCGAGGGGAGCTGATCCCATAGCCACATGGTCCAAGTAGGAGATGCAGGGATGGGTGAATGGCCCAGCAACCTTAGTTTTAATTAGTTTTAATTATTATTTGTTTTTTTGAGACAAGGTCTCTGCGTAGCATAGGTTGGCAGGCATTTGCCATCCTCCCGCCTCAGCTTCCTGAGCACAGAGATTATAGCCACTGTGTCTGGCTCAAGCAAGAGCAGCCTGTGGGTCCACACCCAGGCCTGGCTATCTCCGGTGCTCCCCCAGGCCCAGACTTGGGGCTGTGGTTGGGGCAGAGCAGGACCCCATATATACCAGCCGTGGATCACAGGAGCCCAGGCTCTCCGCCACCCCAGATACCCAGCTTTGCACCAACTGCATACAGTGACTTTTCAGGGGCTCCTGTCACCTGAGCAGTTAGAAACGCCTGTTGCCTCACCTCGCACCTGAGGAAGACTGCTCTGATCCCACTCTGATCCCACCAGCCGTGAGGGGGCTCTGCTGCACTGTGGTCTCCTGGGCCTGCAGTGTCCCAGCCTGGTGGCTTTGGTGCGGGTTCTGACAGCCCAGTGGGGACTTCTCCCTGTGACGGCTGTGGATCTTTCCTACCGCGGGGGTCCAAGGTGGAGAGGTGGAGAGGGGGATGTAGGTCAGCCCGTCCTCCCGGGGCGCCCCCTCAACCTAGCTGGGTTCCAGCACTGGTTCTATTTGTGTTCTAAGGTGCTGAGGCCTTGTTAGGACTCACTTTCCCTTTACCAGATGTGTGTGGCGGATGCTGGGGATTGAACCCAAGGCCTTTGCATATTATCCTCGAACCCATGCTCCATTTTAATTTTGAGACAGGGTCTTGCTAACTTGCTAAGTTGCCCAGGTTGGACTTCAACTTGAGATCCTCCTGACTCAGCCTCCAACAGCATCGGGATTAAGGCGTGCACCATGGGCTGCCTATGAGGGGCTGAGTACCCCTAGGTAAGAGTCAGGTGGGGAGTGAGGGAGTTACCAGTGCACCCTCCCCAGAGCCCAGCCTGATGATCCCACAGCTGCACACCTGACTTGGACAAGTGGGGTGCGCTTCTCCGGAGTCTCACTGTGTGGGTCAGGTTGTCTTTGAAATTACTGCGTAGCCCCGCTAGCCTCTAACCTACTGAGAGTCTCCTGCCTCAGCCTTGGGATTCTTCTGCCTCAGGCTTGGACTCCCGACTGGTGAATTCCATAAACTTTTAGCCTTCTCACTAGGACAACCCATACGCACCCCAGCTTTGAAGTCCTGAGTGCCGCCAGGGAAGAAGCAGAGAACTCTCTGGACCACCTACCGCCCTGGCAGGTGTTTGGTGTGTTATAAATGATCCCCCATTGTCTTTATCCTTAAGAGCGGCGGGGGTGGGGGGTAGGGGGAGTGGGGGCGTGGGGAGGTAGTGGGGTGTGGGGGTGGGAGGGTTTGCAGAATCTGGCTGCCCTGGGGACACCGTGGCAGGGCTCTTCCCAGACTGAGCCTAGGCCCTGGGCCCAGCCCCTGGACTCCTCCTCCCTCCCTGACCAGCCCCCCCACTCCTCCCTCCCCATCCGCGTGCTCCCCTCCCTCCCCCTCCTCCCTCCGCATCTCCCGCTCCCCACCTCCTCCTCATTTCCCCCACACCCCACCTTCGCTGTTCTTCTGGCTGCTCCAGGGCCGTCCAGTGCTGGAGGAGACTCAGCCGGCCAGATAGCAGGGAAGGGCCCGAGCCTCTACCTATTGTTTGCTGCGGAAAGAAATGGAAGCGCTGAAGGCCACGGAAAATCGGAAAGAGGAGCCTTCCGCTGCAGCCCGTGGCAGAGCCGCGCACGGCTGATTGCGTGGCCACAGCTGTCGTCTGCCTTTCATGCGCTTTTACTGCGGCCTTCTGGCTCCGCCAGACTCCTGGGCTGCTGCGGGGCCTAAAGGAGTTCGTGACCCCCTCAGTGGCAGAAGAGCCACTGAGGCCGGCCTGGCCCGGGCACACAGGGCCCAGGGAACCAGGGACACCTGGGCCACGATCCGGGCTTGGAGTTTTCCACGCTCCCGCATCTGCTGAAACAGCCCCGCACAGAAGCACGCGTGGGTCCCGCAGTCTGGGCAGCCCCTCCCCTGGCAGCTTCGGAAACGGCCTCGGGGACCTGACCAGAGAAACAGTGAGCCGTGGGCCCTCTGTCCTGTTTCCTTGGCATGGGCCTGGGTCATAATCAAGCTGGTTTTCCAGTGACTCTCTTGAATTAGTAGCAAGGGTCATTCACTTATTTACAGCAAGGGGGACTGAACCCAGGAGCTTTAGGCTAAACTGTGAACCCCATCCCCAGCCTTTAGAAGATATTTTTCCTGGGCCGGGTCATGTGTGCCTGCAGTCCCAGCACTTGGGTGGCTGAGGTAGGAAGACCATCATGCATTTAAGGACAACACGGGCTACATAGTGAATTCAAGGCCAGCCTCCAATTATTTTTGTTTGTTTTAAAACTTGAGACAGGATCTAATTTGCTCAGGTGGAGTTCAAACTTGGTGATCCTCCTGCCTCAACCTGCTAGAAGGCTGGCCCCTGTAATTTTTTTCTTTTTGAGATAGGGCTTAATTATGCATTTCAGGGTGACGTCGAACTCACTTTGTAGCTCAGGCTGGTCTCAAACTTGCAGAACATTCTCCTGCCTCAGCCTCCCACGTGCTAGGATTACAGGTTGTGCCACAATGCCTTGCTTTTCTTTGTTTTCTTTCCTAAAACCTGCATATATTTCAGTATTTACTAAACATTACATACTTATAGATCCCATAGGACAGTGTTTCCGAGACCCCACAGTAATAAATTTAAACAACATGCCAGAGTTGACATTTTGTAAGGCTGCCACATTTTGAATTCTACAATACAGAGATATCGCTATTATTAACCAGCGCATCCATACAGCTCTCCCCGCAGACGTCTTTACTCAGTTTGGCTCTTCCCAGATAGAAAGCAGCCAGAATTATATTCAAGTCTCAGGGTTAACACCAGAAACAGGTTATAAGGAGCTGAAGTTGTGTTGACCAAAAAGAGAGACAATTTCTCATTCACCTTTGTTTAGATGGGCCTCAAAATTCTGTGACAGATTTTGGATTCAAGTTGTTTCCATTAAAAAGTGTTGATTTTAAAAACTAATAGTTTAAAAACTGCCACACACACACACAAAATGGTCCACAAAACATTCTCCTTTCCTTTGGAAGGTTTTATGATGCATTTATCATTAACCAGTCTCTCACTGTTAAACTTTAAAGGCCGACTGGGAGAAACAGCTCTGGGACTGTCTTCCGCTGCTGATTAAGACTGGGGTGGTGGGCATTAGGGTGATATTCACGTAGCTTTCTGAGTTTCCCAGCTCTAGTGATTTTCAGTGGATCTAGAGTCTCCATCTTACAGCTTTAGTCTGAAAAGTATCAAGAAGGATATGGTGAAAATGAGGCTTATTTTTTTAAAATTTTATTATTTATTTATTTTTTATTGGTACCAGGGATCGAACTCACCACTACGCGCTTGAGCTAAATCCCCAGCCCCCAAATTTTATTTTAAAGACAAAACCCAATAAAACAAAACAATAAGTCCAATCAAAACAAGCAGGGAAATTGGTAGAGAACTTCAAAGCAGAACAATAGGAAAACAACAACGGCTACCACAGTATATCCTGTTATCTTCACAATAGTTGTCCGTTCCATCAGATAGCAAA